TCCATTGGTGACATTATTGCCATTGCTTAGATTATTGAGCAGTTGCTGCTGCTGTTGTTGCTGTTGCTGCTGCTGCTGCTGGTGTTGCATGTTGCTGCGTAGCAGATTGTTGTTGCAGGCCACATTGAGATTCGAATTGCTGGTGTTGCTGTTGGCATTGCCCGTGTTGCTGCCGTTACCGGACAGCAAATGTGGCAGATTGTGCACCACTTGCAGTGGCAAACTGCTGAGCGGTGGCAAAGCCGCCGTTTGCGACATGTTTCCTAGCAATTGCTGCTGCTGGTGTTGCTGCTGCTGCTGCTGTTGCACATTTTGCAGCAGTTGCAGTTGCTGTTGCTGGTGCTGCAGGCCATGTTGCTGCTGCTGCTGCTGTTGCTGTTGCTGCTGCTGTAGCGCCAATGCTGGCGGTGGCATTTGATAGTCCATTCTCATTGCTGAGATCACAATTTGTTAAATTCCTTGTTCAATTCAGAGTTATTTATTGCATGTATCACTTAGCTGGCCATGTGTGGCCCAAACATGTTGCTGCTGCGGCACTGGCTGTTAACTTAATTAACAACAAATTGGAATTTAAAACCGAAAAAAGCTTTTTATCGCACGTTGCTGTTGCTGCTGCTGCTGCCGCTGTTGCCGCTTCTAATTGCTCGTGGCGATCGCCCGCACAGCAGCAACATCAGCCGGAGAGCGAGCTTACACTTGTACACTTTAATACTCAGAATATGGCGAGTGCTTTGGCTCAGTTTTTGTCGCCGTTTTTTTTTTGCATTCGCAATTTTTCTATTGTTTGTTTTGTTTGCCTTTTTCTATTATTATTCGTTGTCAACTATTCCGCGTACTGAGCGTTGTTTTATTTAATTTTTAGTTGTGTAGCTGTGTGTGGGGCTGGGCCCGTTTGCTAAGGGGTTCAGTTCTCACTGCCCGCCGCTTTTGAATGAGAAAAGTTTGACCTTGAATCGGCAACACAAAAAAAACACCCAGCAAAATGTTTTTGCTATGCGTTTTTGCTATTTGTCAGCCTGATCGTCGCACTTATTTTCTGTGGGTTGACGTTCAAGCGAATACTTTATTGTTGTATGTATTAATTCTTTTCTCTTGCGAGTAAATGTTTGTAATGTCGATAAAAGAATTCAATATATTATCTGCATTTATTTATTGACAGTTTGTATTGCTACTAGAATAGAATGGATTAATATTGATTTTTTTATTTTTGAACTATTTTACAAATCGTGTTTCGTTTATTCATTTCAATTTTTTTATAAGAAAAAGAAGCTAATAGATATTAAATTTTAGTGGATTATAAAAAAATTAATTTTTTTAATAGTGTATTCTTCAGAGTTTTTTTTTTGTGGCATTAAACATCAATTCAGAAAGTTAGAGCAATTTGTGGTTTTTTGAATTCTTAAAATTTTTAATGACAAAAAAATTATTTTTTTCATGAGAAAAATAATATTTTCTTTTTATAGTTCCAAGTAAATGATGTTTATTTTCTTAGATATTTAACACTTGATATTTTTTTTAACTTATAAACACCTTTTATTTATTCCTGTTGTTTTATTTTGTGTATTTGACATACATATGCTTATGCGTTTATGTTTTATGTATTCGATTTTTCAAATAAATTCTTTTTTCATTTGGGAATTTAAACCAATTTTCAAAATTTCACTTTAATGATCTTGTTATCATAAATTTCTGGTATTTGGGAGATCATACAAATTCGAGCACTGCACAATATGTTTTAATCCAAGTAGAGGCGTGCTCTTGGAGGATCGATCCTCGCCAGAAAACGTTGGGTGGAAGATCGGAAAGGAATCGAAAGTTCACAAGTTCGCACGAATTCGAAAGCGTCGTGCTAAAGACGAAGACACGCGTCGTATACGTATTATTTTATGGCTTTTGCTTTTGGCGGCTTGGTATTGGTGAGTGGGTTTTTGAGTTTTCGGGATTGGATGGTTGGCTATATATTATTTGATTTGGTGTTTTTGGTTTTGGTAGAGAGCCGTGAACCGAACCGGTGCCGCCGGACTGCGAACGCTGAGTGAACGCGCGCGTCGAAATCGCCATGCAACGCAGCTTCGCAGCTGGGCAGAGAAACAGAGAAACCGAGAAAACCAGAGAAGCAGAGAAAAGCTGGGGAAGCGAGAAAAAGAGCAAAAGAAATATCAAATAAAAGCCAAACTTGAAACCGAAAGCATGAAAGCCCTCGGCGCCCCGCTTTTCTCCTTTCTCCCTGCTCGCTCGTTTTTTTTTTTTGCGCATTCCGCCTGTTTACTTTCTTTCGCGTCGCCTGCCAAAGTTCGCTTCTGCCGACGTCGACGTCGACGGCGCTGCCGCCACGCTTGGTGGGAGCTGCTCTGCCGACGCCGACGTCAATGCGGAAGCAGATTTTCCGCTGCCGACGCAGGCAGCAGCTTTGTTTTGAGTCGCTCGCAAAAGCTTTCCGCTCGCTCGTCTATTTGAGTGATATTTTCTACACTCAGCTTGAGTTATTTTCAATTTATAAAATAATATAAAAATAAACTCAATTTATTTTAATTTCCATATATAGATTTGGGAAGTATGTACGACTATTTTCAATTGTACTCTTAAATAAATAAACTAACAATAAAAACCCTTCAGTTAAAAACGTAGGCTAACTAAATATGTAAATTAAATATTAAAATCAAAATTTTGAAAGATTTCTCTAATATTTAAAATACAAATCTTAGACTTAAAATTTATGTTTAGAAAGCCAAAACAAGATTTCGTTTTAAAGATTATAAAAGAACCAGAGTTTAAAAGGTTTTAGAATAAACATATATAAAGACTTATTTATTGACCATCATCTAATCTATACGATCTTTTGGTCTTTTAAGAATAAGCGAACATTTTTTTTTTTGGTTTGAAGCCTGTTCTTTAATATAATCATATTCATAGTAGTCGCATAAATTTTTATGTAACTGACTTAACATAAAAGCTGTATTTCAATTTTATTTTCAATGATTAATGTTAGTATATGAAACAAGCAAAACGCTTACCAGCACAATGTTTAGAAAAAACACACAAATACTGAGACTCACAAAAATCCAAAATGTTGGTTTTTGATGCTTACCTGTAAGTAAAGAAAAAGAAATTGGATTTAAGTACGAGTTTCATAAAACAAATTAAAAATTAAATAATTTTTTATTATACCTAGTAAATAAAGCAATTGTATTTAATATGCGAAAGATCAAAAGAAAACAAGTGAGAATTAATTGAGAGACATTTGGTTTTGTCAAGGGTGGCGGAAATTTCCCATGCATGGGGTGCCCACCCACAGCGACAACTGACATTTATCCATTTTTGCTTTCCCCGCTCTACCCACACAGAAAAACAACGAATTTCATACAAATTATTATACATTCCGCCTTTAAAAGGTCATTTCCAGTATATTCAATAGCGAAAAATTTCACCGGCATAGCAAAAAAAACAAACAAACAATCGAGGGGAAGGGATGGTAGACCACCCACATTTCATTTGCCATATTCATTTCCATATCATCTGCCATAAAAATTTCATCAGCCTAATTCCGAAATCTAATCAAACCAAATGCATTTTCTCAACGATGACCAACTGAGGTCAGTTTAAAAAAAAAGGGAAATGGAAAAAACATGGAAATTGGTGGCAGCTTAGTCGCGATTTTCAAAAGGATTTGTGCCAAATGCATTGACAAAGTAGATCAAAAAGGGTGAAAGGATGTGCCAAAACGAAAACTGAAATCTGGCAGCAATGAAAAAACTTTTAGGCTGGCCTAAGCAAGCCTAAATGGCAAACAGATGTTTCCGTTTAATTAATATGAAATGGAAAATTTAACGGCATTTAAAATAATTTTCCAGTTTCAATTGCCATACAAAGTAGGAATTTCCGTAAGAAAACTAATAAGGGTGCCCATAAACTGATAAGATATAGACATTTGTGTATATAGGCACTTAACAGTATTGTGCTATATACTAAAAGTAGTTGTTTTAACTGCAACGCAGTTTGGCCTAGGTCACAAAAATATATGGTTTTTATCAATAATACGAACTTTAAATTTCTGTATTTCATGAAATTTCCCTTGTGGTAGGCTGCAAACCAATAAACTTGACGATCTCTCAGTGCAAAGATACATTTGTCGATGTATCCACATTTGAATTCCATTTCCTATTCAATTCGAACAGTCGACGTCAGTGAGTACAGTATATATGGACTATATATATACTGTATAGTATAGTATAGTATATATTAGCCCAGCTGAGCTCACGTGTGCGCGGCAAGCTTTCTTGACTTTTGCGCTTTACAAGCTCGCAATGCGCAAAGTTCTCGGCCGCTGACGTCGGATGATATCAGCCCGGGATGCAGATAGACGTTCTACAGACATTTCGCGAAGGGTTGGTATAGGGTATTTATCCAGGGTTTGCAACGGAATAGTCATTCTCTAATACAAGACAAGCTCGAGAAAAATGAAAAATCACCGAACTAGTCATACAATTTATCAGTTGTTTTCCATTTTCTGTATATACTTACAAAGTCAATTAGTTATTTAGAAAACTATACTCAACTAATGTTAAACCCAACAAAAATAATTTTAAGTAAGCTGAATTCATTTAACAGATTGTTTTTAACAATATATCTGAATAGTTTTAAACATTTTCACTTATTGAAGTTTATTTCTATATAGTCATTTAAAATGAAATTACTTGAACACTTGTATACTAATATTACTTTAAGTATTTCAAGCTGATGATATATTTGCTTGTCTTTAAACTATATTTAACCATTACTCTCATTGAGTAATGATTTCATATTTTGTATTTACTTAATAAAATACTTATTCATTTTAGAAAATAGTTATTATTTATGTTCTGCACATAATATATTATGCATTTATGTCATTACTAGTTGAAAACTATGTATTTATGTTTTGTTATTTTTCACCCTATTTACCTAAACTTTCATATAGATTTGAGTACATTTCCTTAACTTCTTTTACTTTTTCACCTCACCTGAGTTGGCTGGCTGAAATCGCGACTTGAGACTGTTCAGATGGTTATGATGCTCGTTGGCGATCACGGCCGCTGCCACGGCATTTGCCACATGTTGCACGGAGGACACATTGTTGCTGCTGTTATTATTGCTGTTGTTGTTGTTATTATTCTGGCCGGGATTCCCAACATTTCCATTACCAGTTCCCGCCACAACAGGATTATTATTGCCACTGGTATTATTCCCATTCGAACCCTGATTGCCACTTGCCACAGCAGCGGATGCTGCAACAGCGGCAGCATTGCATCCGGCCGCTGCCGCAGCTGCAGCGGCATTGCTCTGGGGATCCATGAAGGAGTTGCGCTGGTAATGCTGATTCTCCTGGTAAATCCGCTGGTACGTCAGCGTGGGCAGCGTCCACGAATTGTTCGTCTTGTAGTGGAAGTTGCCGGTGCCAAAAATGGAGTGGGTGTTGGTGTTGCCATTATTGGGGTTTCCCGCTGCAGCAGCAACTGCGGCCGAAGAAAGTGTATGGGCCAGATGGGCGGCATGATGTTGCTGCTGTGCATGCTGCTGTTGTTGCTGCTGGTGGTGTTGCTGCTGAGGCTGCTGCTGCTGTTGCTGCTGCTGCTGTTGTTGTTGCTGCTGCTGCTGTTGTTGTTGCTGGTGTGTATGATGCGGGTGAAGCGTATGGCCAAGATGTTGCTGCTGGTTGTGATGCTGGGAGTGCTGCTGTTGCTGCTGCAGGACAGCGGCAACATGCTGTTGGTGTGCTTGATGTTGCTGCTGTACGTGCTGTTGGTGGTGTTGCTGCTGTTGTTGCTGTTGCTGCTGTTGCTGGTGGTGCAAAGCGGCCGTCTGCTGTTGCTGTTGCAAGGCCCAGGCATTAACGCCATTGTTGCTGGTGGCACCACCACCACCACCACCTCCCCCTCCGCCACCTCCTGCACTGCTCTTCCCCGAATCATTGCTGCTGACACTGCTGCGATGGTTGTCCATGGTTCCCGAGGATCCTGTCATGCTGCCATCATTACCACTATCGGAATTGCCGCTGCTGCTGTTGTTGCCACTGCTGTTGTTGCCACCGTTGCCGTTGTTGCCACTACTGACTGCCGCTGCAGCAGCAACTTGTGAGTTAAGTTGCTGGAAATACTGCGACAGTGTGGCATTGGCATGCTCCTGGGCAAAGAAACTGGTACACGAATTCGTATCCGACGACATGGTCACTGGTTCTATAAACTGGGTCCGATCCTCACTGGTTAATCCTTCACTGGTTACGGGTATTCACTGTTCTCCCTGTGATCTTAGGTGATCACCTCCTTGTGCTGAACGTGATTGAATTTGCTGGTCAGCAGTATAAACTTTGGGCCTCGGCCGAAAGTTGTGCGCATTGTCTTTACAGTTTGATTCACTTTAGTTTTATATGTAGCATAAGCTTTTGTCTGTGTTATCTGAAAGTATTGTGCTTTCGTTTTAAAAAAAAAACCCAGATTAGTGTGGTGCACTACATTTTTTTTTACTTTTTTTTCCAGCCAATTGATAGCCAATTCGTTGTTGCTAATGAACTGGTGATAGTGGTTTAAAAATGTTGCGAGTGATTCAGTGTTCAGTATAGGGAAGCGACTTTGATATTGACTGATAATGAGATTGCTTGTTTTCGTGTGGTCAGGGAATGCACTTTGTTTGCGTCTATTTTTGTATGATTTTCATTTAGTTTTCATTATTTTTTATTAATGATGATAATCATGATGATAAGGAATAAGAAAAGGCATTGTATAGTTGTATAGTTTGCGCTTTCTTTTAGTTCAATTAATTTTGTATAATAAGATTTTTGTGACGCTATAGAAATCAATAGGTGGAATCAACCGGTACAAAGGCTATCCGTGTTTTCAAATAATTTTTGCCATGGAAATTTTCAAGAACATATTTAAATCAAAGCAATCGAATTGTTATTTGCCAAATCAATAACCGAGACAAAGGCTTTTTATGTTTATAAGTTAAATATTTGTTTATTGAAATTTTGGAATACTTTCTATACATAAATCAAAACAAATAAATTATTATTTGCCAAATCAATTGAATTATCCTTTTTTCTGGTGAATAACTCTTTTTCTCTCTCTCAGCCTTTTGTTGAATACCTTTTCTTATTCTCAGAATTGGTTGCTGCTTAGAAATGAGATCGTTTTTTTGCTTTGGGTTTTTGTTGTTTCGGCTTTTGTATTTTTCTTTCTTGGGTTTGTTGTTTTGTAGAAAAATTAAAATTAAAATAAACTGTTTGGAATTGGATCCGTAACTTTGGCGACGCTGGACAGAGATTGTCGAGGGATCTCCGGATCTCTCGCTCTTTCTCTCTCTGCCTGGTACTATCTCTCTCTTTCTTTCTGCGTTATTTTATTTCCTTTTAATAATAGTTATTATTTGTATGACACACACACACACTTTAGATTGATTTCACAATGGATTGCACTTGAAATTTGTTTAAACAGAAACTATTTCCTTGAGTTAAAGTTCTTCCAGAACTTTTTCTTGTTTGTTGAAAATAAATTTCAATTAATTTGTTTTTGCTGGCGTTAGGAATATTTTTGTTTTTCCCGCTCGATTAGAAAAAAACACGGAACGAGCAGCGACGACGATTTTCACATGGGAACGCGATGCGACAGAATGCCGGCCGAATAATTTTCTCGGTCTCAATGTCCGTCTCTGGTTTTTCTCTGCCGCCGCTGCAGTCGACGGCGCTGCCACCGCTACCGCTCTCTCAGCCAGCTAAAATTGCAATTTTCTGCAAGTAAGTCGGCTTACGTAAAGGGCGGAGGTCCGAAAACAGCTCTCCCTCTCCCACTTTAATAATTGTTTTTCAGGTTTTTTTTTATCAAATGTTGGTACCGCAAAATATTAGTATTCATACCACAGAATATTTATCCATACAACAGGGTTCAAAATAATAGTATTGCCAAGTAAGTTATTTATTACAAGCAATATGTTTTTCTACACTTTTTATCAATCTAAATTACCATAAACATGAAACCATAAAAAACTATTTTTATATACTTTTGTTTTTTAAAAACATTTCTGTTCAGTACAAAAATGATTATAATTTATTTAACCTTATATATTCAAATGTTAGTATGCTAAAAACTCAATGTTAGGCCTAGTTTTTATCTGAACAATTTTTAAGAACAAAAATCTATATATATATATATTTTTTTTATATATAAGAAGTTGTTATCTTAACTATAAACTATTTTTTGCTTGCACTATTTGCACAAGAGCAGGAAAACACCGCTATTATTTTGCGCACAGCTATATATGTTTGTATATACTTGGGGGCTGAGGCAGCGACGGCGGCAGAGGCAGCGCTGCTGCGGCCAAGTCACGCGGATTTCAATATGACCCAAAGCCCACTGTCTAGCACAGTTTTAAGCACGTGTTGCGGACACACCGGCCACTCACACAGTCGCAAATTAATTGAGAGAGAGAGGAGTGCACGTTGAACGGCAAGCGCACTCGAAGATACAGATAGGCAAACACAGATACACCTATAGATAGGGTAGCAGATAGAGATACGAAATACAGCTCAAAAGTTTCCAGTCGCTTCGCAATTGAGGGCTATATCTCACCCCTTGTAGGTGATATATGTATATATGGCCAATACACTATATATATATCAGCTGGAGTGCGTGGTCGTTTAATTCGGCAGTGATGCGGCTGCAACACGTGACGTATGCGTAATGTGCTTCACAGAATCGCTTTTGTGCCACCAACTAATTAACACTGCGTCATGGAAAGTACGTAGATCACTCGGGGGAGTGGTTGGGGGTCTAGAGCAGGGTGCTTCACCCACTGGGTAAACCCAAAGGCAAAACGTAGTAGTTGCAACGCAGCATTTACTTAATCTGCATTCACTGGAAAGCGCTAACCTATTGGCGTAGGTCGTAGCTTTTTCTTGGAATTTTCGAAAAATATTCAAACTATTCGAGGTCTTATTCAGGTTTGTAATGAATATAGTAATTATTTGCAGTTGGCATAGGTCCGGCACATTTTCATAGTAAATATGTAGTATATTGTCGTTATTTCCAAGCCGTTCATAACATCGGAACTATTGTTTTTACGACGGGAATCGCCTAGTTATGTATTGTTGAACAATGAATCATATATTTTATAACAATAAGGGCTTATTTAAATTTGATCAATTTCTTAAATAAATCTTTAAAAAATGTTTAAAAAATACAATTTTTTTTGTGCAATTGTAGGTTTTCTGCATTCAAATATTTTAAAATACTCACCACATTTCAAGAGTTTACCCTTCAGTAAATCAACTCAAGTAAAATCCAATAATATCTAAACAATTTTTCCACCCCAAAAACTTTTCAGTTTCCCCTGGTTTTTCAACCTTGTGCTATTCTCCGGTTAAACAAAACCCCTGTTGCTTTCGAGAAACCCAGTCACCCCTGAAAACCTATCAATCAGCATAACAGTGGACCATGTGGATAAGCGTGCTTCAGTCACCTGTTTTCCCAGGCGAGACAATGTAGGGAATATCAAGTATACGCAGTGTGACTATTTTGGGAAACGCCAAAGCAACAAGTCAACTGAAACTTCGGGAAATGGAAAGACGAAATCCGAAAACCAAAAGCCGAACCTGACTTCGGGCTCCTGCCAATGGCAGAAGGATGTGCGACAGAGCTTCGCTATTGGCCAGGCTTATATGCCGGAAAAATCGAGAAAAGGGAACCAATCCGGAAAGTTCTGCCGACGCGGGCAGAGGCAGAGGGGGGCGTCGACAGCGACGCTGGCCGCGGCGGCAGCGTTGTCAGGTTTTCTGTTTGTTTTGTTGCCAGTTGTTGTATTTTGTGTTATCACGTTTCGCTACCACGTGCACCGGCCCCCGTTTGCTGGTGTGTGTGTGTGTTTGTGTGCGAGTACCTCACTCACACTTAAGCCCCTCAAAATACCCACTCACACAGCCACACACCCATAGACCGCACTCACATAGATACGGCCTGGCGCTTCGACGGATGAATGAGCCCTGAGAGCGGGAGAATTCGCTGAACAAAACCCAACTGAGTCGAAGACGAAGCTGTTGCTGGTTTATAAATAGCAATTTAAAGCATCGCACACAACACACAAACACGTATCGAATCAATGAGTCACACACACTCACACGGCATTATTTTGCATCTGAAGAACAAAACAATAAAAATGAAAAAAGAAAACGAAACAAAACACACTGCATAGATGTGCAAATAAAGCAAATTGTGCAGAATAAATATCGGAAGCCGTCGGTGGACAGAAAATCAGAAAGTAAACAAAATAATTGCTGCAATTTTTGAGGACGCAAACAGAAAACCATTATACTCAGGAAAAAAAATAGTAACTTCATTCAAACAAAAAAAAATTATAATAGATTTTCAGGAATTAAGAATTCAGCTGTCAAAAAAGGTATTTATAAAATAGGGTTGCTCCATATTGCTTCATATAAACCTTTTTCATATAAACCTTTTATACAAAAAATAGAAGTTTATAAATTGGCTTAGGATTTTAAAAAAATAAAATCAAAATACCTTTTCTCGTCATTTGTGAATAGTAGTTTGGATACAGGTTTTTTTTATTTTTCTAAATAAAACGTGTAAAACAATTTAAAAATAAGATTTACAAAAAATGTATATATACATATATGAAATAATTTGTTTCCATATACAATTTTGTTGCTGTGTAAAAGAAGGCGCGATCTTTAGTACTTGAAAATTGTGGAAATTTGTATGCATTATTTCAATAAAATGTCGTCGCAGACTTGTGCGACTAACACAAAGGCAAAGGCACAGCAAGTCAAACCTTAATTAAACATATTGTGATTTGCTGTGTTTGCAAGGAAACCGTCTGGGGTTCTGGTTCCATATAGGGGTATTATGGATCCGCTGGGGAGCGGTGTGTATGGGTCTGGCATGGCGACGTTCGAGTCATTATACACGTGTTTAGTGCAGCAGGTCGTAAATTAACATTTTGCTAAATAATTATTTAGAAATGCTGAAATGTTTAAACGTTTTTTACGATAACACGACTGCCTTATTAAGGGCCTCCAACCAGTTGACCCAGATAGTGCAACTAAAATGACTTTTAGGGGGAAGTAGAATAATATATTTTAAATATAATAGTAAGCCAAAATCAGGGCAACTACCTAGTTAGATTTAGACAGTTTTTATTAACTGACTGGGTAGTAAAGGCAATTTGCGTTAGTTTCTCGCATTTTGAACTCAAAGCAAAGCTTTTTTTTAGCAATTAATAACCAATTAATGGACAGATAACTAATGACTAAAGCTGAATTAGATTTTAGATTTCAATAGATTTCTTGGGACATTAATAAATTCATAAATAATTGTATCTAACAACTAGAAAAATTGGTAATGTATGTATGTTCGTTTTTCAATTTACTTAGAATTTATTTATAAAATAATAATAAAACTGTAAGCATATGTTTGTAAAACTATAAAATCATTAGAAATAATTAAGAAAACAATAGCTTAATGGGCTACATATGTATACCTGTAGGTATAATTAAATGCTGTGTTTAATTAAAAGCTCACTTAAATATAATTAAAAAGAAATAATACTAATAAAAGATTGATCTTTCAATAAAAATATTCGGACGTGATTGATTGTTTATTAAATAAATTAAAGGTGGGTTAAACAATTAAAATGATATTCAAATAAGCTGCAACCGGCGGATCAAATATTATTTGGGACTTATCTAAGTTATGCAGTTGATACCAACTCTTTCAAGGTCTTAAACACGCCATATTTTCATTAATCAAATATGTTTAATGCAATCTTTTAGAATTTTTTTGTCTTAACTTTCATTCAATGCCTGGAAATTCCAAACGCAAACATGCGCCATATCTATGAAACCGTCGTCGCAATTTTACGGCTTTATAGAACAAGTTAACAGAAAATAAAAATTATATTGCGGGCGGCTTATCAGTAAGAAACTTGGCCAACAGGTTGTTTGGCTTACCGCTGACCAGACAATAAACTGAAATTCCATATCTACAAAACCAGACAATTTTTCTGTCGGGGAATCAGGTGCAAAGTTGAAGTTCAGCAGTCGGAAATTGATTTACGTAATTAAAGTAAGGGGGCGTGAGGTGGGCAGAGGCAAGCCTCCCCCTTTGGCCTTATCACCGGGCACTTTGGACTGGAAATTCGAGTAGCCAGAAAAGTGAAGAAATGGCAAACCAGCTGACGTCGTCGCCTGGCCAAACATGTGACCCCCGGGAAAAAAGGGGACGGCAAAAGGCAAAACAACATACGAAGAGGACGTCAGCAAAATTGGAAATATGATTGTGATGCGATTTCAATTGTTGTCGTAGGCTAATGCAGTAAAAATTCTAATTAATGGCTAACGTGGCGTATGCGCGATATCCAAAGGGAATTTTCCAACGGGGGCCGAAATGTTTCGTTTATTAAGCGACTGTGCGCACGTGTTTCACCCAACGGTCTTGCGTCCGCTGGTGGGATCCAATGTTTGAGCCGTCTGCTGAGGGGCGGAAGGGGGTTGGGCGGAAATGTGGGTGGTGAGTGATGGGTGGCAGGGGAAACTGCCAGACAAGCTGCCTAGCAAAACACGAGTATGCGCTCTCTGCCGCTCTAAAGAGCGCGAAAGAGAAA